TATTTTGGTTTTCACGTTTTGCCAGCATGGGCTGATCAGATGACCTTGAGATTTCAATTCCCACCAGGAAAATCCATGGCTGTGATTAGCTGCTGTGTATTTTAGTATGCTATTTTCTTAACTGTCTCAAGGACGTTCCTATGTTGTATAAACAAACGAGAGTTGTATGCTTGATTGTACTGTGATTGCTGGGTGTTTGCAGAATATACTTCTACGCTTACAAAGCCTTCTATTTCGACTTTGAGTATTCAAGGTAGCCTCCCTGGAAGCTGGTAAAAGTCTCGTTCGCGTTTATCGACTAAGGTAAACTCGTAATAGCCTCAAGCATACTAAGTGACGAACTTGTCACTAACACTGATTGGAGATTTAATAGTGTCCATTACGGAATTTGTATAGTCATTTAATATTTGTGACCATCTGATACCTGCGAGTCGGAGGAAATGGGATTACAGAGGATTCGTCTACAGCTTAGTTTCTAACTTTTCAAAACATAAAATGTATTACTTATCGTTATTTCTAATGAAGCATACTGAAGGGATCATTCTATACACAACACTCATCCGTTTGTTAAAAGTCATTCAAAAATAAACCATACTTATATATCTGCATGTCGTCAATCACCCAACATTTATTTACTATCACATCTCAAAATAAATCAGTGATACAATTATTATACAGATGATTGACATAATTTTTTATTTCTATTGTTAAGTTAAGAAACATAAAATTGATACTTCAAATAAATAAATAGCCAATGAAAAAGCCTGAATTATTGTCTGCCCATTTATCTACTTACTATCTACTACAGAATTTGCAATGCATGATTGACCTTGAATCTACTATTTTAAATGCATCGATTAAATCTGGGTTTTTCATTCAAACACAAGCGAAAATCATAGTAACGAAAGCGATTGTCGTTCTCATTTTCTTTGTTTGACCGAAATTATGTTTTGATTTCAGTAAGTTACTGAATGAACAAAAGGAGGTTTGAAATGAAATGAAATGAAATTTTAAACTAGGTAAGATTTCATGGAAAAATCATATAAAGGAAAGTATTTTAAAAAGATGATATGTTTCTGTTTAGAAGGAGGGAAACTGTCAAAGATTCACCAAAGTCCATTGGACTAATCCCAAATTATATTTCAGTGTTCAGATCAATTCAGTCAACACAAATAAGTTTTGCGTTCATCCAAGAAATTTCATTCCAACTCTCAATCGATATTCAAAATTCTGGTCAAAACTTTGTATTAAAATTTTCTCCAATCTTCAGGCAGACATTTTTTGACGTACCTAACAGCGAAACTTCACTTATGATGTTGAAAACTTGACAGATTCGTCAGAAAGCGTAAGGGTAATCACTGAATACCAGTAAGTACTGCATGAGTGTTTCGTCCTGGTATATCAGTCAGATGCAATGTAGAACTTCGTACGTAAGTACATCATTTCATGTTGCCATACCACATCAGCACAGAGATGTAATTGTCAATTCAAATCCAATAGTAGAAGAGGTAGTAAAGGTATTAGCAGTAATCGGAGACGTTAGCATTAGAAGATATTATTCAAGAAGTATGATTCAGTGAGATAAGTTTAGAAAGTCAAAACTAGAGGTGTTGAAGAATCCAGAAGATAAGGATTTGAGAGAACACAAAGAATAAATGCACTGGCGCCATTGCAAACGATTTCGAGCCATGTCGTTCAAGGTCTCTAACCATCGATTATTATCATCTCGCGAACCCCAACCCGGTAGTCGAAAATTACCGACATGGCTCAGTCCACTCATCAGTGACTTCATGGATTTGTTTCGTGTTTTGGTTTAGCAGCACCTAGCTTTCTTCCAATCTATTCCTACACTACAAAACAAAGCTCGACGAGGCAGTCGGTGGTTAGGCATACGTAACACATGTCCCAACCACCTCAACTGATGAAGTGTCACTACTACGTCTATTTATCTGCCATTCTTACCTAGCACCCGATTCCTAATAACAGCGTTGCTCACTCGGGTGTCCCACGATATACGAGCAATGCTTCGAAGACACCTATGACCGAAAACTAGTAACCTACGAATATCTTCTACTCTCAATGGCCATGTTTCACAGCCATAAAGTAAGACGGAGCGAACTACTGCGCAGTACATTTCTGGTATATAAGATTTTGCAACTGCAAGTACACATGACCACACTAAGAATCGAATTCAAGATCTGCAAGTTTCTTGGCGATCACTCACAACACCATGTCAGTAGCTAAAATTTGTGGTTGTACGGTATTCTCTAACTAAACCCATTTCCATATGCAAACTACATGCATAAACAATACCCAAACAATACCCACAAACATAATTTTGTCCGGTGATTTCCTAAATTCGAGTTGGAATCTGTGATTGATGAAGTTAAGTGCGTGTTCATTTTTGGTCAGTTTTACATCAATGATATTTCGCAGTAATGTGACCCATCGAAGGGTTAAGATATAGACCGAATGGATGTTGATTCAGCTGTCAACAGGTCAAGCAATCACAGTGTGATCAATGATTTGTTGACTGGTGCTTCCGTCCAGTATTTTACAGTCTTATTGATTGTCTAATGAATAACAGTTGGTGATGTTAAATATAAAATTCGATAGTCTATGCAAATCGCTTACACCAAGTTTTGTAGTTGATATTTTAATATAAAAAATTAAAATCAAATGTCATTTTCCACTCTTCAATTAGTCTGTTCACTCAGTTTGAATAAAAATCGATCAAAAGACAAATTTGTTCTGAAGAATGTGATGTGTTTACGACATACAATGCAAACAATATGGTCACGCATAGACTTGTCAAGATATTGGTATTTCAAAACTCACAAACGCCAAGCAAATGAAAGCTCAAATAAACACAAGTCACAATTGTAAATAGCGTATGAATAACCTCCGACTACCTTGACGAGCTTTGTTTTGTAGTGTAGGAATAGGTTGGAAGAAAGTTAGCGGAGGCCAAACCAAAACATGGCAGAAATCCATGAAGACATTGACGAGTGGACTGAGCCATGTCGGTAATTTTCGACTACCGGGTTGGGGTTCGCGAGATGATAATAATCGATGGTTAGAGACCTTGAACGACATGGCTCGAAATCGTTTGCAATGGCGCCAGTGCATTTATTCTTTGTGTTCTCTCAAATCCTTATCTTCTGGGTTCTTCAACACCTCTAGTTTCGACTCTCTAAACTTTTCTCATTTAATCATACTTCTTGAATAATATCTTCTAATCCTAACCTCTCCGATTACTTCTAATACCTTTACTACCTCTTCTACTATTGAATTTGAATTGACAATTACATCTCTGTGCTGATGTGGTATGGCGACATGAACTGATGTACTTACGTACGAAGTTCTGCGTTGCATCTGACTCTGACTCTGACAATTGTAAATAATAGGGAGTATTCACAGATTATCACAGTGAATTCTATGTTACAACTTTACTTTTCGATTTTTCCAGCAAACCTAAGTGTGTTCACATGAGACGATGAATTGATAAATGCAGTGGGACGTGTCAATCATTTAAACAATTTCCTGAACGGTGGAGTTTTCAATCACAGTCAATTTGACAGCTTAGCTAGCCTTTTCATCAATGCTTGCATCTCGTCTGTCTGAAAATTGCACTGTTCGATAAAAAAGCAAAGCGATGTAGAAACAATTTGTCTCACATTTACAGAATTACAAATAGTTCTAGTTTTAGGAAACTCGCTCACCAATTTCTAAACAGCAGTGAGTTACTGGTTTACGTTAATGTTTGGTCAGCATTTCTTTGCCTTTTTAGAATACATCAGTGATAATCGTTTAAGAGACACTGTTGAAGAGACACTTTACGAAACCCTAATTCATGTGTCTGGTTGTCACGTCCAACGAATCCTCTTTTCTTAATTAAGTCGTCATCACCATCCTACCCAGTGTGAATAAGCTTTACATTTGAACGTAAATAATCAATGTGAATCAAAAAGCTATGAATGAATCATTTAAACAGTTTTGTTTGTTGAGAAAATCGAAGATATAGCAAATATCGTTCTCTCACTGAATAACACTAACACAACAGTTCTAAATATGAATATTATTTATCCTAACATTTGATGGATTATGTTGATTACAGTGAAGTGTAGATGGAGGATGACTAGAGAGAGAAAAAAATACCTACAAATTCGTTAACTAATTATGACCCTGTTGTGAACGACGGATCCTTAGAACTCGCTTGAAATAGGTCCTAGTTTTGTAATTTATTTCTGAAATTTTGAGAGTCTACGTTCTCTCGCCAAAGACGCTTATTTGACCTTCAGCTCATATTTCCTACTCGGAAAATCCTTGACCGTCATTGGTTGATTTGGGGCTCTCCCAAGAAAATTTTGTCGTGTATAAATAACCTCAATTCGCGTGCTTGTGAACCTCATATTTCCTGGATGCTTGTAGAATATACTCTCTACGCCCATGTCAACACTTCTTTATCTAGTTAGCTGGGCCGCGAACAACGGTTTAGAATAGCCTATCGTATAACTTCATCATTTAAATTCACTCCAGTTTACCGAGTACCGTGAACTCATTATACTTTTAAGCATTTCATTTGACAAGCATATCAGACTCCATACAACATCTTTCGACGTGGCAACCACCAAATTTGACTCAAACATCGACACAACTAGCCCACATCGCTATCAGCCACTTAACAAAAGACTTGACAAAAGAGTTTCACTCATTCTGAAGGGCATATTTACATCCAAACGATTCTGTAGTACGAGCACGAATTTGTCTGCAACGTACCGGTCATGAGAAAGGCATAGTAATATTCAAGGATTACAAAGCTAGGATAACGTCTCAAGGGAAATTAGAAAAGCAGTTACGCTTTTATGTATGTTTCGCATACACCAAGGCAGCTTCAAAAGATATCTAAGAGCTGTGAAAACAGTAGTTAACTTAAACTAGTTTGTAATCAACTCAACCAATAAACTGTATGACTTTGGCGTTGTCACTGTAAATTTTTGTTCGGAATGAATATAACAAAGCTGTAATATAAACATTGAAAACATTTATACAATTTGAAGAAAAATCAATAATTGACTGACTAATCAATGCTAGTATTTCGTTCTTGGATTAAAATAATCACACAGTTTTTTCTTAATTGTCACAGGGTTTCAATTAATTGTGTATGAAAAATAGACTTTTGTTCACTTGTGTTGATGACATTATTTGTTGATAAGTTCGATGATGTCATAAACCGGTTGTAATCCTTTGGAATGAAATGTTTACCATCAATATTACTGGTTGAATGATCAATCAGCAATGTATCATTGTTTGGTATAGAGTTTGTTGAAATATTTTTCTCAACCGTAGTCATTGTTCTAATGGTAGTTGATGATGATAATGGGTTTTGCAGTGATTCATCGTTGTTTGTGTTTGGAATTTGTATCAGCCTATTATGATTCATAGTGTGACTGTCACACAATTGATTGTTAAGCGTATCATCACATGACTTTGGTTGAACATCTTTCAGTGAAGGACTTTTTATTTCACAATAACAAATTGGATTATTTTCTAATAATCGATTATTATTATTAT